GAAGAATAAATGAGAATGTCATCGAGATATACAAAAACAAAATGACCAAGAAAATCACAGAGAACGTCATTGATCAACCCCTGGAAAACCGCCGGGGCATTGGTGAGGCCAAAAGGCATCACCAGATATTCAAAGTGCCCGAACGGGGTCTTGAAGGCAGTCTTCCACTCATCGCCCTCGCGGATGCGGACGAGATGGTAGGCACTCCTGAGGTCCAACTTGGTGAAGACTGCCACGCCCTGGAGAGACTCAGGCAGAAGAGAGGAGAGGTAAGGGGTATTTGTTTTTTACAGTAACGGCATTGAGACCATGATAATCAATACAGGGATGGAGGCCACCATCCTTCTTCCCCACAACAAAGAACCCTGCACCCAGGGGTGAGGAAGAAGGACGGATCATGCCTGCATGTCAGGCAGTTTCAATGTACTCCTCCAGAACCTGTCGTTCGGGTTTGGAGATGTGGAAGAGGCAGCTGTTGGGCAAGGTGGCTCCCGGGTACAGGTCGATGTCACAGTCATAAGGTCTATGAGGGGGAGAGAGTCCATGGCCAGGTGCTTATTGAACACCTGTTGCAGGTCGTGGTAGTGCGGGGATATGGAGGACAGGTCCAACGGCTCTGGAGGGGTAGCAGGTGAAGAAGAGGTGGGTTGTCCGGCGAGGAGACAGGTTGATGCACAGTCCGGGCTCCACTGGGTGATGGTGCCGGTGGTCCAGTCCACCGTGGGGTTGTGTTGGACCAACCAGAAGTGACCCAAAACCAGTGGTGTGTCCAGGATGGAGAAGATGTTGAAGTAGATGTCCTCGTGGTGGTTGCTGGTGACGGTGAGATGGAGATGGAGTTCGGTGAGTGATGTGGGTCAGCAGTCGGCTGTCGATAACCCGGGTCTCTATTGCATGGGGAAGCAATCAGGCCTAGTTGCTCCACCAGGGCCGGGTCCATAAGGATACCCCCGGCTCCAGAGTCAAGGAGAGCATGGCGGGAGGACACCTGACCAGCTGTTTCCAGGAGCACGGGGAGGAGGCAGCTGGTACCCGGCCTGGTGGAGGTAGAAGGACAGCCCGTCAGTGTCCCCACTATCACTGGCGGGCCCGTTCTTTTGGCCGCACCGGGCAGGTGGCGATGAGATGTTCCGGAGCCCCACAGTACAGGCACGACCCAGTGTGGATGCGGCAGGCCCGTTCTTCTGGATCTAGACGAGCACATCCCAAGTCCATGGGTTCATCCGTTCTTCGGGAGGTGCAGGTGTGAGAGTACCCCATGCGGAGAGGTACCCGGGCTTCGGCAGGTGGGGTTGCCATGACGTGGGTCCCGGGGGCCGACTGCTGCCCTGCTCTTTCCTTGCAGAAAGAGCATTGCTGTTTGTCAATAGGGATGGCCAAGTCTACCAGGGAGCGGAGAGAAGGGGGCTCGTCTCAAGTGTTCAGCTCCGCCTTGATGTTTTCATTGAGGCCGTGCCAGAAGGCCGCACGTAACACGTGGTCCTCCCAGCCGGCCTCCGTTGCAAGGACCCGGAAGTCAATGGAGTAATCCAAAACACGATGAGCCCCCTGGCAGATAGTCATAAGCTCCCTGGCGGCTTGACCCTGATGAGATGGAGGTGAAAAGATGGTCTGTATTTCTTCCAAGAACTCGGTAATGGTGGTGCCGATGAGCATACCACTGGTGTCCGCAGCTTCGGCCCAGGTAAGCGCTTTCCCTCGCAGCCGGTTAATAACGTAGCTTATTTTTTCTCTGTCATTGTGAAATGTCCGTGGTTGCTGATCGAAAACCCGGCGGCACTGCAGCAGAAAACCCTTGCACTTGTCCACGCTGCCATCAAAGACGTCAGGTTCTGGGATACGGGGATTACGGCAGGGACTGGCAGAACGGGGTGGATCTGAGTGTGGATCTGGGGTGGCAGCGTGACCATGGTGAAACAGTAGCAGTGAGGTGAGCTGTGCTACTTGCTGGGTCAGAGAGGATATGTCCAGTTGTTGCTGCTGCAGTTCTGTCCATTTGAGCGGTTAGATGTGCCGGAGTAGAGGCGCTACTTGCACCGGAGCCAGCAGGGTCCATGTTGGCCAGTTCGATCCGTTATGGTTGCTCGAACACAGAATGAGCGAGCGGGAAAAAGGACGGACCCAGGTAGCTGGCTTTGGTGCTAGCAGTGAGGTTTATTTACAGTGCAGTACAGTGAAATAAGTATAGGAGGGATGTAGAGAGAGATGACCAGTGTCGATCAGCGGCAGCAGACACAGTCAATAGTATGATGGGTGATGATGGGCCAGGCTGCGGACGTTGGGGTCACTGATGGGCTGGTCGAGGTGGAGGCGATGATGGCTGAGGAAATAGGAGCATGAAAAGACAGGTTAAAGGAGACTGTCCATCGACCTGTGAGGCGGTGGCTGGTAGAGCTGAGTAAATCCAGAGTTCAGAGGAGGGTTCCGTAGAGGAGGAAAAAACAAAGGGCAGCAGGGCAGGATGGTGACTCGAGTGAAACACAGAATTTACAGCGGGCGTACTTGGCACAAAAAAACACAATGAGAACACACACGGGGTCTGAAGACAGAGATAAAAACTGGCAAGGGGGTGAATGGTGAGCAGTGTATAAGTAAGAAGGAAAACTAACAAGGCGCAGCTGGTGAGTAATCAGGGAAGCGGGGCAGGTGTGTCGAATGGTGCAATCAGTGCAAGGGAACAGACTAGTGTGAGGAAAGGAAGAGAGGCAGGTGCCGCCGGGCAAGCCTGACAAATTCTTTTATTCATATCCATAATTTGAGCCAATAAAAATTTTCAGTTAATCAGTTTCTTTGAGTGTGCCCAGAACAAAGCACAAGTCTAGAGGTGATCGTGCTTTTGTGGCTGCTGCTCCCAAAATGTGGAATGATCTACCGCTGTCTATCAGCTTGTTCATCCCAAGTTAAAATTGATGAAAGCACATGAAATATCAAATGATGTGATAGATGGAGATTAAGCACTGTAGGCCATTAAAATCAGTTAAAATAAGAAAATAAAAGAAAACTATTGAAGTGTCAATATATAACTGCTCAAAGTTGAAATGAGGTGGCAGAGACAAGTCAGATGTGCAAGAAGCTGAAGTATCAGCTGGTATGAATGCACACGGTGCCACTAAAATGTCTACTTTACATGTATTTCACTTTTATTCACTGCAGCTTTAATAAAGCACTGGAACAACCAAGTGCATAATATATGGCACTGTTACACAGTTTGAAACATTCATTCATCATTCATTTTCTACCGCTTAGTCCCTGAACGGGGTCACGGGTGGGCCCGGAGCCAATCCCGGCCGGCAACACCCTGGACAGGTCGCCAATCCATTGCAGGGCTAACACATAGACGAACAACCACACACACGCATGCACTCCTATGGGCAATTTAGAGACACCAATCAACCTAAGCTGCATGTCTTTGGTCAGTGGGAGGAAGCCGGAGTACCCAGAGAGAACCCACACAAGCACGGGGAGAACATGCAAACTCCACACAGAAAGGTCCCAGGTGGGGCCCGAACCCAGAACCTTCTCGCTGGGAGGCAACGGCGCTAACCACTGTACCACGTATCATCAAGTTTGAAACAGTTTTATTGATTTAAGGGACAACAGCCATGTAAATATATTTTTATGGTGTAAAGCAGCAAAATCTGAGAAATCTTATTGTTTTTTGTATCATCAGTTCTATATAGTTTTACTGTAAATAAAACAAGGGCACATTTTTGTATATGGACAGTAGGGACATGTACCTACCAATATTTGGCTGTGTCCCTACCAGTGTTGAGACCAAACCTACACCCTTGATATAAAAACAAAGTCCTGAACTTCTACTCTTGTGCACAAATTTGGTTTGATGTTCATCATTTTCCTCTTTCTGGCTTCTTTGTTGTTGTGGCTTGTGGATACCCCAAGTGGGCCTTCACCAAAGCAAGGAAGAGGCCCAACACCAACAGGGAGAAACCAGAAACAAGAGGGGATAACACTGTCATCCCTTATGTGGCTGGTTTATCAGAGAAGTTAAAAAGGATCTTTCGCAACCACAGTATTCCAGTCAACTTTAAGCCAGGGACCACCCTGCGGCAAAGACTGGTCCACCCTAAGGACAAAACACCTAGACACAAACAGAGTGGTGTGGTGTATGTAATTAAGTGTAGTCAGGAGTGTAATGACTTGTACATTGGTGAAACTAAGCAGCTGCTTAGCTGCTTAACGCATGGCCCAACACAGGAGGGCCAACTCCAGTGGACCAGAGTCAGCAGTCCACCTCCACCTGAAGGACAAAGGACATTCTTTTGAGGACAGTGAACTCCAGATCCTCTCCAGAGAACATCACTGGTTCGAGAGGGGAGTCAAGGAAGCTATTTTTGTCCAAATAGAACACCCCTCACTAAATAGGGGTGGTGGACTACGACACAACTTGTCATCCATCTACAACTCTGTTTTGAGATCTCTGCCCAAACATGCCCACAAGGACAATAGGCGTCGGTCCATAGGTGAGGGTTCAAAGACAGGTAACGACGCTCACCGATACTGGGTTACAATGACTCAGAGAGCTAAACTGCTCAGTGTGAGCTCAGTCACGGCTCAGCTCTCCTTGAGATAATGAAATGATGATTAATGGGAAAGGTGTTGCAATTCACTCATTTGTTCACTCACAAGTAGAACAGTATCATGGGGGGACAGAGAGAGACCAGTGCAGTCATGACAGATTATTAATTATTTATTTATTTTTTATGAGTCCAGGCAATTATTTTATGTTTTCTGTCTCTAAATGCAATTCGTTTAACTGAAGGCAAAGGCTAGTAAAGTATGACATGGAGTTACATCGTCTTTGTTATTATGCTAGTGGGGATATGATAAAACTGTAATCTAGTTAGCAAAGTTCCTGTTCACATGGCTGATCAAGCTAAGCTTCTTTTGAGTGCATTACAATGTAAAATCTCAGTCAAGCACACAAAATTAAAAGAGAACAAACCATGAGGCACACTGCAGTAGAGGAAGGGTCACTTTACCTGGTATTGGTTGGCCTTTGCAAGCTCCTGATTGGCTGATTCCACATTGGATGATCCGGTCTGGATGTAATCTTCAATGCTGTCTGAGAAAACAATGAGCAAATTTCTTAATTTGTCACTGTCACTGCAGCAACTTACAACCCCAAATCAGTTGGAATAGTATCCAATTGGTATGTAAAATCAAAACCATCACAACCATATGGTCAGGTGACGTGGGTTTCACAGTTTAATCATTTTGGCTACAAGTTTTTTAATACCAAAAAGGTACATTCATTCATTTATTAATTTTTTAGTGTAGATGTGTGTGTGTTAAATATATATACATAACATATATACATATACATTCTTCCAAGCATCTCCAAATCGTTACTCCAAATCCAAGCCACTACTTCAATGTGAAAACACTAAATTCACACAAGTGTGTGGTTTGTCCATTCTGGGCTACTGTAAAAAACATGGCAGCTCAACATAGCAGCCTCCAGGATAGGTCAAAGGTCAAGGTCAAAGTGTTTATTTGTCATATGCACAGTTAGGAAACGTGTTTCCCTGTACAATGAAATTCTTACTTTGCCGTCCACATGAATGCCACAAAATACAAATGAAATATAAAGTAGATAAATAAGTAACACAAAATCTAAGGCACTTTAAGCAGCAAATGCAGCAATATAATAAAAATATAATAATCTAATAAGAGAATGCATGTTGCATGGGAGCAGCATGTGCAGCAGTCAACAGTCAATGTACAATTATGCATGTGCAAACTGAGAATGTAAACAGTACAGATCAACAGTATATGACGTATTTCCTGGTAATGAACTTCTGTCACCTGTTTAGGAGTCGGATGGCAGAGGGAAAAAAAGAGTTTTTCAGTCTAGAGGTCCTGCATTTCACACTTCTGAACCTCTGGCCAAAGGGTAGGGAGGTGAACAGTCCGTGCTTTGAGGATGGAGGTAGCTTTCCTACGCACCCTGCGGTGGTAAATGCTCTGCAGAGAGGGCAGTGGAGTTTCTGCCTTGCCCTTGTTAGTGCTGTAAATTGCTGGTCTCATCTGGTTTTGACTCCTGAGCTCATTACCTGCTATTGGATTTGGACACCATCTGCCTGTGTCTCTGCCCTCTCTCAGTTTCTGTATTTCTGTTTTGTTTCTGAATTCCGTTTTGGCCTCCTCAGGAAGTACAGCCACCGTTGGGCCTTCTTGACCAGCTGTGTGGTGTTAAGTGTCCAAGTGAG